TACATATTACTTTGGGAAAAGATCTAAAACTGATGACAAGTATTCTGAAGCTGTATAACAAAGAAAAGCCCATTCTTTGTGCACTGAAAATACCTAATCTCTCTCTTTCCTGTAACCTCCCCTCCATCTTGTCCTTTTCTTTCCTTCCTCCCTTCCTAATTCTTCCTTATTTTTGCTACTGTTAATAGAAATAATTTTTAGTGAAAATTTTTAGAACTTTTTCAGCATTAATTTTCTCCTACTGGAGCGTCTGCATCAGTGTATCAGTTAGTACACCTGGCAAAATGATCGAAATGATACAAGGTTTCTATAGTGATTCCATTGTTTCCTACCTATCCCAATGCATATAAACAATAGAAATTTCACTTTTTAAAATATCTTAGGAGTTCTTTTATGTGACCTGATCCCAAGCTAAAATTCCCTAAAGGAGGGAATGGTAAATTATTTTAATGCTTCTGTTGTTTTTGTTTCTAGCTTATTCTACTAAGCTCAACAAATTTCCTGTATTTAATATTAACGATGACTTGAATGATCTATGTACCAGTGCGGTAAGCCCAAACACCACCAAAGCCACTCGATATGCCCTAAATGTGTGGCGCTACTGGTGCATGACCAACGGGCTCAAAGACCACACGGACATCACCAAGGTAAGGGCTTCCGAGTTTCCTAATTCTTTCAACTGACTTCACCGAGCTTCCAAGTGCCATACACTGTGCTGAGTATTGCAGGGAACGCAACACTTGCCTCTGCCTGGGAAACTTATTTATTTATTTTAGTATTTTTGAGACAATGTCTCTCTGTAGCCCCAGCTGGCCTAGAACTCACTTATGTAGACCAGACTGGCCTCTCTCACAGAGATCCACCTGCCTCTGCCTCCCAAGTGCTAGGATTAAAGGTATATGCCACCATGCCCAGCTGCCTGGGGAAGTGAAAGAACATAAAATACAAAGAAAATTGTCCACAGCACAAAGTAGAAATTGTTTTATGAATTTACAGATCAGAAATGCTCTGATGGATACATTAATTTCAGTTGATGAAACTAGAGACAACTTCTTTTCAAGCCACACTTTGAGGAAGAGTTGGAATGCAGTAGAGTTAGATGAGGCCAGGGATAGGGTGAGTGGAGTGAGGAGGAATACAATTTGGAAGGCAGAGTCACTTGCCTACAGTAGTGACTTCGTGAACAGCTAGGCTGAAGAACCAGATTTGATGACTCTTAAGTGAGTCTTACAAGGCTAAGAGTCTTGTAAACACTCGGAAATCTGTGAAGTTTCTTGGTTTCCCATTTGAAAAGGTAAGGCTTAATTTGAAAGAATTATTGCAGGATCTAATTATAAGAGCTGTAAGTTTCTAGGTTGGGGAAAAAAGGAATCTGTTAGTTTCTTGAACAGAAAGGAACATAATAAAAGTGGCATTTTAGAAAAACTAATTGGAAGTGGTGAGCAAAAATGTTATTTAGTATTCTTAGTTTCCAACCCTTTGTAAAATGAGCTCATAAGGTCTTGGAATTGAAATATTTGAGGTTTGTGAATGAAACATGAAGACTGAATGGAAAGATACTGTGTTTTGATTTGGATACACTGAGTCTGAGTCAGGGGTCCAGATGGATATTATCCAGGAGGCAGATGGGATTGTGAGATTTAAAAGGTGGTGGGAATGTTTTATGTGATATATGGAGGAAGCTGTACAGCAACAGTAGCCCAGAGGATAGATAGGCGGAAGGGTGAAAGTGTAGTGTTGTGACCAGTGAGATGGCTCATGGGTAAAGGAACTTGCCACCAAGCCTGGCTACCTGAGTTCAATCCCAGGAAGCTACATGGTAGAAAAAGAGAACAGACTCCTGCAAGTTGTCCTGTCTTTCACATGCACACTGACGTGTGCACACACTAAGTAAATAAATAATTTCTTTTTAAAAAAAGAAAGTGTAGTGTTGTAAAAAATGTATGTGAGCTAGGGCATATTTGAAGGCAGAATGTGATATGTTAAAAACATACACTGAAAATCTTAGAATACTAAAAAAATGCTGATAATTCTAATGTGGAAATAACGAATTATAAAGAGTATTCAAAAGAAGTCAAGAAAGAAAACAAGGGGCTGGAGAGATGGCTCAGTGGTTAAGAGTGCTTATTGCTCTTGCAGAGGATCCAGGTTCAGTCCCAGCACCCACATCAGGCAGCTCACAGCCACCTGTAACTTCAGGTCCAGGGGCTCTGACACCCTCTGGCCTCTGTGGGGACCTGCATGCACATAGTGCACATAAACTTGAGTGCACAGGCACACATATATACACATAAAAATAAACAAATCTTTATTTAAAAGAAATAAAACAAGGAGCGGGGGAGAAAGACCTGTTCAACAGAATACTGTAAACAGAATGAGCAGGAGGTACAGCTCAGTGGTAGCGCACTGGTCCTGTATGCACAAGGCCCTGATTTAAATCCAGGTGCCTTGATAATTATATCAGATGATGCTGTCTATTGAAAAACAATTGTCAAAGCAAAAGCAACAACCAACTATGTATAGTCCATATCTGACTTTAAATAGAAAGGCTGAGAAAAACTGAAAAGGTGACAGAAAGATACAGCATAGAAATGTTAGTCATCAGGAACATGGAGTAGCTGTTACTATAAAAAGTAGACATCACAGAAGGAATTTCAGCTGGAATGAGAAAGGTAATGTACCCTCCCATGTCCCCAAAGAAAACAAGTTTATCCTAACTACAAGGAGAGCAGCAGGCCTAGCAGTGCTTGGAGAGCCACCTGCCAACATGGACGTTTTGTAATGATAAATGTCTTGACTTGGGAGGTTGAAATTGTACAGCATGTTCTCCATCCACAACAGAATTCAATTATGTTAATTACAGATAGCTAACTAGAAATTTCCTGGTACTTAGCATTTAACACACGATTAAATGACCCACAGATCAAGAAGAAACCACAAAGGAAAATTTTTAAATATCTTGAACTAAATAAAATTAAATCACAACTTAGAATTTGTAGAATGTAGCAAAAACACTGTTTTGAGAAAATTATGCTAACTCTAAATGCTTATTTTATAAATGATATAAAATTGAAAAACTATGAAGTAAATATAATGTTGAAATAAGTTGACAAGCCGGTTTGATGAGCTGGGTGTGGTGGTACATAACTTTAATCCTAACACTCAGGAAGCAGAGGCAGGCAGATCTCTAAATTCCAGGCCAACATGGTCTACATAGTGAGTTCTAGGCCAGTTGGGGCTACAGGGAGACACTGTCTCAAAAAAACAAAAGAAGAAAAAAAAAAAGCAGGTTTGGGTTGGGGGTAGTAGCACACACTTGCAGTCTCAGCACTTTTGAGACAGAAGCAAAAGGATCACTGCAAGTTCAGGGTCAGCCTCTGCTACACAGTGGAGTCCTGTCTACTCAGGGCTACTTAAGGAAACCCTGTCTCAGAAAATAAAACAAAGAAATATGTTTAGGCTCAGATGAAAAATAGTAAGTTGTAACGAAGATGTTAAGATGTACAGCAGAGAGCAGAGTTGAGGAGATGGCTAACTAAGCCCAAACCTTTAATCCCAGCATGAAGGCGGCTGAGGCTGGGGGATTGCTGGTTCAAGGCCAGCCTGTACTATATAATGAGATCCTGTCTCAAAATTTAAAATGATTAAAAAAAAATTTTTTTTTATTTGTACCTGTATGCATGTTTTGCCTGCATGTATGTGGATGTTGGTGCTTGGATTCCCCTGGAACTGGAGTTGCAGAGGGTTGTTAGCCAGCACCTGGGTGCTGGGAACCCAACTCAGGTCTTCTGCAAAAGCATCAAGTGCTCTTTAACCACTGAGCCATATCGATGGTGCCCCTGCCCCCCTCCCCCATCTCAAAGTTTTTTTGTTTTTTGGGTTTTTTTTGGTCTTTTTGAGACAGGGTCTCCCTGTAGCTCCAGCTGCCTGGAACTCACTCTGTAGACCAGGCTGGCTTCAAACTTACAGAGGATCTGCCTGTCTCTGCCTCCCGAGTGCTGGGGTTAAAGGTGCGCGCCATGACTCCTGGCACAGTTTTTGGGTTTTTTTTTAACTTTTTTAAAAAAACTTTGAGAATTTCATTACATGCATATAAGGTGTTTTTTATCAAATCCACACCCACTCCCTCCCCTCCAACACCTCCCATATCACCCCATCACTTTTTCCATCTCAAAGTTTTTTTGTCTTTTTTTTTTGGTCTTTTTTGAAACAGGGTCTTCCTGTAGCCCCAGCTGTCCTGGAACTCACTATGTAGACCAGGCTGTCCTTGAACTCACAGAGATCCGCCTGCCTCTGCCTCCCACCCCCTGCCTCTGCCTCCCAAGTGCTGGGATTAAAGTCGTGTGCCACCACGCCTGGCAACCATCTCAAAGCTTTTAAAAAGGAAAAAGAAAAGAGATTACAGTGAGAGAATAGAGAAGAATCCAAAATGCTAAAGGCAGTAATAAAAGAGGCCATTGCTACCAGTCTTGCAAAAACAAAAAAAGATTCTGTGAACAATTGTGTGCCAAAAAGGTAACAAATAAAATGGACAAATTCCTAGAAAAAGTAAAAACAAAAACAAGAAAAACTGCCTTTGATAGCTTCCTATTGCCTATAGGATCAGTTCTAAGCAGTTTACCTTATATGCAGGTCTTGACCCCCATGTGCAAGACTGTTTGCAGAGACAGCTACAATTTCCTTCCCAAAGAAGGCACATACCCCTTCCTTGCCAACATGCCTTTGCTGCTTTTCCCATCAAGAGGTAGACTGTTTCCCATCCCTTGACTTAGAGCTGCCTGTGTGACTAATTTTGGGCAGCGGATTCAGAGAAATGTAAATTCCAAGCCTAGGTCTCAAGGGGTTCTACTTTGGTGTTTAGGTTTTACTGGTGTTTGTACATGGTGTTGCCATGAGAGGAGACCCAGCTAGACTTGGAAATGTGGGCAAGCTGTAACCCTAATATTCATATGGCTGCATCCACATGAGTACTCCAAGAGGGAGCAGGAGAGGAAATATTCAGGGAGCTTGACCCAGAATACTAAGCCATAAAATTGTGAGCAAAATAAGACAGCTTGGCTTTAAGCCATTAAGCTTTTCGGTGGTTTATTACGCAGTGGTAGGAAACTGTCACACACCCTTTTCTAGCCTGATCTTTTGTTGTCTTTGAACTGTTTTCCAGCCTTATTTACCGTTCCCAGAATCCACAAGACCCTTTCATACTTCTGAGTCTCCGGACTGCTTCCTTTGCCTAGAATGCTTTTTCTTCTAACCTCCTATATTTGGAAACTCTCTATTTAGTCCTACAGAATGAACTCAAATTCTATTCTAGCTTTTCCTGTCACCTGGGATCCTATGGCTCTTGCATTTTTATTACAGTGCTCTATAAGTTACTTTTCTGTTCGCTGTGACCACATGTCTAGTGGAAGGAAAGGCTTACTCTGGCTCACAGTTTCAGGGTCCAGTCATTCGCGGTGGGGAAGGAATGGCAGGCGGCAGGAGAGTGAGGCTGCTTGCTTACATCTTTCTTCCTCAGTTAATCCTCTCTAGAAACACCTTCACTACCCTCTAGCATTTCTTAATCCAATCAAGTTGAGGAAGTTGGCCATCACAGGTGCTTTCCATGTTGCAGCCCTCTTAACACTTTTCATGCCTGTTTCTCCACATG